TGGGTAACTCGCCCTCAAAATCTGTGTCGAGGCTGGGTATCTCCTCAGAAGCTGTGTCGCCTACCTTGGGCTTGGACGACGGATCATAGCTTAGCTCGGCTAGAAGGCCAGAATTAGATTTTGCCACACCTTTCTCGTCTTCCGTCTTGCCAGTAGCCACAGAGCCCATACGCTCTGCCAGGCTCGCTGGCCTCTGATCTTCGACCACAAAGTCGAGAAAGGAAGTGATGTTCGAGTACTTGCTACGTAGAGCCTCGTCCCTGATAAAGACCTGGAGCTTGGTCTCGTACCAGAAGGTTCGGCGGATCGCGAGAACAAGCCCATGAGCACTCCCAGGATAACGATGTAGCTGCCACACGTCCCTGCCAGACTTCAAACAGCATGGCACCAGCACCGTGGGGCACTGGGGACTAGGCAGTGGATAGACAAAAGCTCCTCCAGTGTCCTCCGACCGGCTGCATAGACGAGAGTCAGAGGAAGTATGGCACTACTGATTAGATCTTACACGTCATATAGCAAGGATAGAGCTTCCTTCCTCTGCATGCTCTCAACAAAAGACGGGACACGCTCCAAGTATCCCAAGGGTGACTGAAGAACCTGTGAGGCAACCAAACGAGAATGAGACAATGAAACAGCAACCATAACGCTTACCACTTCTTCTGCAGCTTCAATAGCCCGAGATGGATCTTCCACTTCCTCCGCTTCGATATCTGGATCTTCCCCTTCTCCTGCTTCGTTGGGATCTTCCACTTCTGCTTCGAAAATAGTCCCATCCCTTGCGAGACAGTCATCTGCAATGAGAGGCAGGAGTTAGATGTCTAAGGAAAAACAAGGGAAAACTGTGCACGCACAGCTAATGTTTCGGAACGCTGCGAATGGAAACGTAGGGCTCCTCTCCAGCCACAGCCTGGCGTGCGTAACACAGAAGTAGACCGCGAGGCGGTGGGAGAGAAAGACGGAGTGAGGTGGCCGACGCGTCACCAGGTGGAGCAGGAGCTTGCTTTCCTGCACAGCGGACAGAAGCTCCTTGAATTCGATGTTTGTGACGTGACGCCACCGCCATGCAGGCTCTCGCTCCCCGTCCGCTTCCAAGTCCTCGGTCCGGTCTATCTCACCGACCCCGGTATAGCCAAGGACAGCGCCGAGGCTGCTCCGGTAAACGTTTTCCCAATCCGCCACCTCAACTGGAACGTAGCCTTCTTTGTAGAGTTTGGTCACCTCGCATTCCACAGCCTCTAGACGATCGGCCTCGTCACCTCTGGCTCTGGCCTCCTTGATCCTGCTCCGGAGAGTGGCCAGCGAGGTGGCACAGCTCGGCCCATCCGCGTCACGTCTCGGTGGCGAGAGGAAGTACGTGCTTCGAACAACTTTGGCTACGATGGTGCGAAGCTTGCCATGCTGCGGGTGCTCCCTGAAAGAAAAAACCAAGAGAAATTTAATAGAAGCCCTCGGAGTCGGCGTACATCTCACCTTTGCCAATCTTCTTCGACTGCATCCAGGGCGAGCATGGTGCCATCGTTGCTCAGTGCTCCCGCGGGGAGGGGCTGGAGGAGTGACGAGAAAAAGTTGACAAGAGCGGAGAGGGCTTCCTCCGTGACGCCTGCGGAGGATGCGCAGGCACGGAGCTCGGCAGCGTTGCCCTTGAGCAGCGACGACAGATAAAGCAGCGCCACCAACCTGAAGAGATGGGGATCAGACGCCTCGGGAAGCCAGTCGTCACAACCCCAGATATACACCTGGAGCTCGTGGAAGCACTCGGCATCGCGCAGGTCTTGCTGTGCGCACTCCACCAGTTCCTTGTCGAGATCCTTGAGGAACTGATAGACATCCCACTCAGCCCTGGATCCGGGATGTAAGGCAGCGCGGACAACACCCTCCATCCTAGAATTTAGGGCTCGCCACAACACTCCACTCTTTATACGTGCTGGTTTGCTTCTCCAGCACGTATCCCCAATACCTGCAATGCATGGTAAGTATCTCGGGAGCCGGCAACTCTGGAAAGCGTCCTCTTGTAACAGATGCTTCCTGGGAGGACGCGGAGCAGGAGGTTGGCAAGCCTGCAAGTACTCAGATCCCGACGTCTCGTTCCCGGTCGCAGAATGCGGCTCCCAAGAGCTCGCAGCAAAGATGCAATTGCTGTGAGGACGTGTCTGCTGATCTCTCCCCGTATGATCAACATTGATTCGCCGATTTTCGGTAATACAGGTCGATCATAAGCAGCAGTTCGATGCTCCCAAAGAACTGCAAAAGACGAACAGCTACAGAGCATTGTTCTGAGAATGTGATAACAAACCTATAACCGCGAGGACTGTATTGATTCACAACCACCGCCTCTGCCAAAATCTATAGCGCACAGAAAAACTCTTTCAAACATATTTGTTTACTGGTTAAGAAATCGAGGAAGAACAAGCGGGATTGAAAATGATCGAGCTCCACGTGCTGTAACTGTATTTCTAAAGTAAACGAACTACGCTGTATCAAAGAGCCTAGTAGCTTTTTCACAAGCTACAGACAAAGAAAACCAATTCAGATGGCTATCAAACTAAGTTCAGTTGAACATTTAACATGCAGTAAGAGTTTCCAAAAACTATGGTGGAACGGAAAGCTTATTGAAATAGATGAATCAGACTGTGGAATAGACACTTCCAATAACATATCATGTACACTTAATGGAATTGGAAAGAGCAGGACATTCAAATCTGCACAAGCGCGATGAAGGAGACCGACCAGTGTGCCGTTTTGTGGACTTCAAAAATGTGTTCGATGCCGTTCGACGGCACGCAATCAGAGCACCACCCGACATCGTGAACACAATCCTCTACACATGCATTCAAGCCGCGCTGGCCGGACAAGCCCCCGTCCCATGCGATGCAGGGTCAAGCAGGGATACCCCATTTTAGCTTGGTCTAATTTTCAAAGTGAAGAGATTATTCATGCTCTGTGTCAACAAGAACATGCTCTGTGTCAATTCAAGGAAGAATTTGAAATAACAAACAAAACAAACTTACATACCATCGATAGATGGAACTCAGTGGAACAGCTTGCGACCGCTGCTGTTAACTTGTGCCACCACCGCAGCGCACTTGTGCAAGTTGTCCATGCTCTGTGTCAACTAGTCAGCTCGGGATCCTCTCCCTCATATCCACATTGAGTCCTGCCTCATCTTCTAGATCTTCCAGCAGAGCCTTCTCTAGGTTGTAAGTGAGTATCTCGTCCGAGAGACGAGCTAGCTCCACTTTCCAGTATACTCACAATCATCTCCACAACTTGTTGGTCTGCCGTATCAAACGTGGTGTCTGGGATTCCAGGAATTGACACTGAAGTCGCCTGGGGCTTACATCGGCGGCTCGAGACTGAGATAGTTCTTCTCCTTTCTGAGCTTGCGCTTGACGAACTCCTCGCACTTGGCCAAGCACCGACCAAAGACGATCTCAACTTTCTCGCCATAGAGAACTGAAAAACTGGGCCATCCTAGGCCTGAAGTGTGGCTCAACACCAAGTTTGCAGCCGTGTCCTGGACATAGTCGTGAGCAGAGGTAACCACCTGGAAACATATTTCTTCCATCTTGCTGGCCACAACAAGCACCAACGATGGAAGAAAGTTTGGCAGTTCCACTCCCTTGGACTCGACCAGGAAACCAGCAACAGTGTCAAGATTTTCGCGGCTTGAAAAGTCGGGATAGCTGGCCCAGAGTTCCCTGTGAAACTCCTTGTATAGGCGAGCAGTGTAGTGCATCTGCTTATCACTTCCAGACTTGATACACTTTCCTGTCACAAGCTGCTCCAGCTGCTTCTATACCTTGTGAACACCCTTGTAGTGCTCAAACGAAGGATCTGCCGCACCATGTCTTGGACAGGTGCTTGTTCTCTTTAAACAGATATTTCTCCTGCGCTCTGGTTTCTCCTGCGCTTTGGCTTCTTCGTGGGAGCTCTCATTATCCATCTTGTTTCCGGACACAAACGTAGCCCAGCCCAACCTTGACCATGTTGGTGACAACTTTGTTGTAGAGACCTTCAGGAGCACAGTCGACTTTGGTGACCAACGCCAGCGTCCTGCTTGTCAACTTGCTTGTCAACTTGCTTGTCAATGACACACAGGTCAAAAAGTCTGTTGGCCGGCTGATTATCAAGCTGGCAAGGGATTTGACTTTCCACTAGATTGATTACTAATGGTTAGTAGTTTGATGTTTTCTTGCCGAATACTTGAGTTATATATAAATGGGACAACAATGGCATTATAATTCTCATTATTGTCCTAAAGTGGATGATTTAGTATTAGTTTGTTTTCTCAATTTTATGGTATATGATTTGTCCAAGTTGTTTAGTGGAAAAGACTATATCATGTGTTGCAAAAAGTTGGACTATAAGTTTATAAAGTTTGGCATAACATTTAGCAAATCAATTTTCTAAAAATTATGCATGTGTAACAATTGAAATACTTTATATAAAAGGATCAAGAACAATTAATACCACATACAGATCCACTAACACTTCTTCTTGATGTTCCTCTAAATCTTGGCACATCCATGTAAAAACCTTAATAATCTTCCATCATTTTAAGAAAGGAGGGTGATGTGGGGGTTTCAATTATACAGTTACAATGTTATATATTAATATTAACATAGTAGGATTTTGGTAGTTGTCAAATTTGTTTTAATTTAGATGATTTGCTCTTGTATATAAATTAAGATTTTTGGGCTAATTGATATTTTTATATTTCATTTCCATATTCTATGCACTTACAACTTTTAAAATATAATCTATTTAAAATCCAAGTTAATTACAATTCACTACCTCTGCATCATTTTTTCCTGTGGTGAAGGGCATTAGGGACCCAATGAGCACTTTTCAAACTAAAAAAATGAGACCAAATGGTTCATTGTCATTGTCAATTCTCCTCTCTCACAGGTGTTTTGATTTATAACATGCCTTTTCATTGAGGTGAGGAGGTTTGACAAGATGCAATGAAATGATCCTCATGTCTCCTCTCGTGTCCACCGTTATGAGAAAGTTCTGGCGGGGCAGCAGGGTCTCGACACGGGTCGTGGAGTTGACAACATCAATAGCCTTCCTGTAATGCCCGTTTTGGGCATTTGCTGTATTTCCAGTACGTGGCTCCGTGGATCATCCTTCCTCAGAAATACTGCCAGCGCTAGAGCAAGCGTGTATAACGATGCTGAGCGTAGATTCGTTTGGGCACACTCCATCGCGGTGCATTCTCCGGAAGAACTGCAGTCGATGCAGCTACACTTCCAATACATGTCCACCAGGAGATTCCCAAGCACCAGCTCGCGATCCATGCCCGTTCGGTAGAGAGGCTTGCCCTCTGCCAGGGATTGCGAGGTGGTGTAGTGCCACACCAGTCGCGACCACGCAAATGCCGCTGCGAGACTTGGGGTGGTGGAGACGGAGAAGAGCAAGTCCCATGGTACTTGTAGGGATAGAATTAACAATTTTGCGCTTGATGATTTCACTCCTGTCTTCCACCTTGTGGTCGCGCAATCACTTCCATCGCTATCAACTTCTCTGGATATTAAGCAACGTCTTGGGCAGTAATTTCACACTGGCAATGTGGATCTTGCGCAAACACTCCATCGCGTGCTTCAGAGTCTCGCCCCCTCAGTGATAATGAGCTTCGAAGGATTGGAGCACTGCTCCCTGATACCACCATCGCTCATCATAACGACGATTAAGACAGTAGAGCTAGTTGACCACGTCCATGTTTTGGCTTTGTTTGCTTTCAACTGCGGGGGAGGTCGCAGTGAGTCCCCGGCCCGTGACTGGTGGAGAGGCCGTGAATGCAAGCAACACCACCCGACGTCTCTTAAATAAAGGGCTTGCGCTCAGAAGAAAGAGAGCTCTTCGTCAAAAGGAGATCAAGCGACCGGAACAAGTACAAGGTTATAAAGATGTTCTCGCACACAATTTGTCTTCCTTTGTTAACTCTGTTGGTCCAGATTTAATTGGGGGAATGTAGCAAAACCATTGCAAGATCGGCTTTTTGGATCCAGCCACACCCACCCATCTATCAAATCCTCTATGGTTTCACAGCAATGCACGGTCGCCACCCTTCTCGCAGAGCAAATGCAGGTGCCTGTATGGAATCGATTCCGTCAAGCACTATGGGACTCGCTCTTCTCCTTCGTCCCCCCACCCAACGTGTGAGCGAAGCAATCCTTAAATTCAGCTTTCGCTTTGGACAGAGGTGTACGTGAAATTATTAGAGAGATTATTCAATGAAGAACATGCTCTGCCTAGAAGAATTTGAAATTTTAACCAGCGTGGAGGACTTTGTGGATGAAGCCTTTGATCTTCCGAGGCGATTCTTTGAAAGCAGCGCGAGCGGTCTCTTTCACCTGGGCAGCCTTGCTCCTCACAAGCTCGCCCTCGTCAATCACCGCTCGAAAAGCTCGCTCGAAAGCAATCCTCGGGATTAAACCATCTTCACCATCTTTCGCTAGTCCCACTCCAATCCCCAAGTGCTCCACAATGATCCGTGCGTTCCCTCGCTGCTCTCCGTAAAACGGCATCGTGATAATCGGAACGCCCCGGCTTAAGCTCTCCATCGTCGAGTTCCATCCGCAGTGGGTCATAAAACCACCCACGGCCCTGTGCGACAGAACCAAGAGCTGTGGTGCCCATTTCGTCACCACCATTCCTGTCTTGTTCGTCGTCGCCCGTTCCAAAAATCCCTCCGGGAGAAACTCCTCGGCACCATTGTGCAGAACCCACAGAAATCTCTTCTCGCTTGCTTCCAATCCAAACGCTAGCTCTTCGATCTGTTCCCGGTTAGCGCGAGCGAAGCTTCCAAACGAGATGTACACGACGGACGCGGTGGGCTGCTCGTCCAGCCATGCCAAGCACTCGACTTTGTCACAGTGTTCACAAGCATCGTCGTCCGCGAAGTAGGGGTCTGGAAGCAAAGGCCCGATATCCATGAAAGGAACCTTGTTGGGATTTATCATCGCATTCTCGCTCACAGCGATGCATGCCTCCTCCTCGATCGCAGCAAACGTGTTGCACATCACTCCAGCTGCCTCGTGAGCTCGAAGAGCATTTGTCACGTAGAAATACCGCATCACATCGGGGATTGTCTCTATGACTGGGCTGCTAACTTGGTCGCTCGAGAGTGGCGAGAGTCCAGCCGAATCTATCCCGGGTATTCGCACCAGCTCTTGAGCTCGCACAGGAAGCTTGTTTTCGTGTAGCATGCTCTTGACATAGAAATGAAAGGCCAGTGCCATTCCCGGTGATGGGTAGAAGATAATCCTGGGAATGTTGAGCTCGTCCGCTACGTCTTGGGCCCAGGAAGCGAGCAAGTTGTCCGTAATGATGCAGCTTATCGGAGGATTAGCAGCACTGATGAGCTCCTTCAGTTCTACTCCATCTTCGGGATGGAATCTAAAGGACCAGAGAATGACCTGCATCGAGTCGTGCCCCGAGCTCGATTCCTGCTGCTCTTTGGGTGGGAAGTTTTTTTTGAGCGTCTGGAACTTGATGTGTGGGTTGCATGCTCGTGCTTTGGCCTCTCTCTTCACTTGCTCAAGCCTGAACTCGTGACAAACGTAGCTTACCTCGAAATCAAGGCCCGCTAGCCTGCTCGCGAGGACTAAAGCCGGGATCATATGCCCTTGAGCCAAGTAAGGAACGACCATCAAGTGAGGCACCTCCTCTCCCATTATTGATCGCTCTCCTTACCCCGGACTTCCTTCTCAACGATCATAAAGGCTTTGAAACAAATGGTGCCAAAGTGATCACTGTTGTTCCGGCAGAAACGAAGCAGCACCGCTCGCTCCAAATGTGGACACGAAGCACGCAGCATCGACAAACACGCTAAAACCGGAACGAGGCATAACAAACAAAACAAACTTACATACCATCGATAGATGGAATGGAACTCAGAGGAACAGCTTGCGACCGCTGCTGTTAACTTGTGCCACCACCGCGGCACACTTGTGCAAGTTGTCCACGCCGTGTCAACTAGTCAGCTGGATCCTCTCCCATTACCTTGCTCATATCCACCTTGAGTCCTGCCTCATCTTCTAGATCTTCCAGCAGAGCCTTTTCCAGGTTGTCAGTGAGTATCTCGTCCGAGAGACGAGCTAGCTCCACTTTCTAGTATACTCACAATCATCTCCACAACTTGTTGGTCTGACGTATCGAAAGTGGTATCTGAAGTCGCCTGGGGTATACTTTGGCGGCTCGAGACTGAGATAGTTCTTGTCATACGTAAAGACTGTGTGTGATTCCTTCCTGAGATTGTGCTTGACGGACTCCTCGCACTTGGCCAAGCACCGACCAAAGACGATCTCAACTTTCTCGCAGAGAACTGAAAAGCTGGGCCATCCTGAAGTGTGGCTCAACACCAAGTTTGCAACCGTGTCCTGGGTAGCAGAGGTAACCACCTGGAAACATATGTCTTCCATCTGGCCACACGCTCCCACGATGGAAGAAAGTTTGGCAGTTTCACTCCCGCAACAGTGTCAAGATTCTCGCGGCTTGAAAGATAGCTGGCCGAGAGTTCCTCTGAAACTCCTCGTATAGGCGAGGAGTGTAGTGCATCTGCTGATCACTTCCATCACAAGCTGCTCCAGCTGCTTCTGTACCTTGCGAACAACCTTGTAGTACTCAAACGAAGGATCCGCCGCTTGCTCCGACCATGTCTTGGACAGGTGCTTGTTCTCTTCAAACAGATATTTTTCCTGCGGTCTGGCTTCTTCGTGGGAGCTCTCATTATCCGTCTTGTTCCGAACGCAAACGTAGCCCAGCCTGGTGACAACTTTGTTGTAGATACCTTCGGGAGCGCCGTCGACTTTGGTGACCAACGCCAGTGTCCTCTTTCCCTGCTCGTCAACTTGCCGAGACATTTGGATCGACTCGCAGGTCGAAAAGTCTGTTGGCCGGCTGATCATCAACTGGCACTCAGGTGATTCCTGGCAAATCTGGAGCATCCGCCTTGTTAAGGATATCGGCTTGTTGACAATATTCTTAGATAGCAAGCTCGGAGGTCGCCGCATTGATCGCGTCTGGTATCTCATCCTCGTTGATGGTGAAAGAGCTCTTACCATCATACTCGATACTGATAACCTCCTCCGACTCATTGTCCGCTTTCTGGAGCCTGAGCACCAAAGGAGATCGTGTCACGATTCCCTCTCCATCCGACAAACTTAAGCCGGCAAGGGAATCGACTTCCCACTGGATATCACCAACATTCTTCCATGACGTCCATGGACCTCACCTTGTCCACCGCGTCAAGCGAAGTGTTGAATGAAGCATGGATAGGACGCCGAAGCCATTCGAAAAGAACCTGTGGACCGCAAAGATTTGAAGATCATATATACAGAGTGAGTTGTCCATTGATCTTCAATCTTCGATCGCCAAAAGACCAAAAGCCAGTCACCAAAGGAGTGCGCGAATGCTCGCGACCTTCATTTTAAATCGAGCCATCCAGTAAAAATAAAAGAAAGAAAAGAGTAAGCACAATTTAGAAAGCTAAGTAAAACAACGAACCTTGGGTAGAGGTCAATCGACTGTTGCCGCTTAATCCACTTCTTCCCATGCACTCACAGCCTCGAAAAGCACACTCTTCACATGTTTCGCAGCTAGGCCACATCCAAAACACGCGTTCGAAAAACCAACATAGTGAGCAGCACTATCGGAGTCCCACTCGAGAACGAGCCTTGCAACTTGCAGGCCCGTGTCGGCATCCCCATGAACTTGGCATGCTGCAAGTAGGATGCTGCTGGCAATCACACGAGACTCCCAAGACAGCAGCTCCTTGCTCAGTGCTTCGGCTTGCTCCAGCCATCCAAGCTTGGCGAATATGTCCACCATGCACACGACATGCTTTTCGGTGGGTTGTATCCCATAGTCGTGTTCCATCGAGCTGTAGAAGAGCAACGCTTCGTGTAGAAAACCAGATTGACTGCACGCCGAGAAAACGCTGATAGACGTGATCGCGTTGGGCTTGAATCCTTGCTGCAGCATTCTTCTCAGGAGGTTTAAAGCTCGGATGCTATCACTGCCTTGAGCATAAACTCCTACCATGGCGGACAAGGAAACTACGTCTAGACATTTCATGCGGCCAAAGATGATTTCGGCCTCGTCCACACAGCCAAGCTGTCCATACATTTTCACAAGAGCTGTAAACACCCTGTTGCTGGACGAGCTTTCGTCGAGGGCTGATGTGAGTCTGGCATGGATTTCTCGCCCCCAAACAAGTGCTCCTACGCTTCCACAAGCCTCCAGCACCGCAACATAAGTTACCTGGTCTGGCTCGAGCTCCATTTGGTGGAAGACATCCAGAGCCAGCATTGGCTCACCGTTTTGGACGTAAATAACGATAATCGTGGTCCAGGTAACCACGTCCCTGGAGGGCATTCGATCGAAAACCTCTCTTGCTTCGTTCAGACAGCCGCATTTGCCATACATGTTGATAAGTGCGTTGGCAACTGCAACGAGCTCCTCAAACTTTGATAGAGCAGCTAGCTCGTGAATCTCTTTGCCTTGGTCGATGTCTTCAGCCACGGCACAAGCATCAATGATCACAACAAACGCGCGGCTGTCGAGGAAAGCCCGCCCTAGCAGCATTTTCTGGACGACATCAATAGCCTTCCTGTAATGCCCGTTTTGGGCATATGCTGCAACCATAGCTGTCCATGACGCAGGATCTCTGTGCTGCATTTCTAAGAACACTCTTTCGGCGCTTCCAACATCGCCACATTTGCCATAAAGAACGATAAGCGCATTTCCTACGTACTCGAACAGTACGTGGCTAGTATCCATTGCGGCGTGAATTAATCTTCCGTCAGCAATGCTGCCAGCGCTGGAGCACGCGTGTAGAACGATGCTGAGGGTAAATTCGTTTGGGCGCACTCCATCGTGGTGCATTCTCCGGAAGAGCTGGATCGACTGGTGGTAATGCCCATTGCGGGCATATGCTGCGATCATGATTGACCACGAGTAGACGTTCCTGCAGTGGATCCGCTGGAACACTTGTAGAGCGGAGTCGAGGCAGCCACACTTCCCATACATGTCCACCAGGAGGTTCCCAAGCACCGTCTCGCGATCCATGCCTGCAGCGGCGATCTGCTTATGGAGACGCTTGCCCTCCGCCAGGGATTGCGAGGCGGTGCAGCGCCGCACAAGCCGCGACCACGCAAATGCCTCCTCCGCTGGATGGGGTGGTGGAGACCGAGTCCCATTGTGTAGCATTCAGGGTATCTTGCGATGGATAGATCGAGGGGATTTGCATTGGGCGATCCAACAAATGTGGGCTTGATGATCTTCACTCCACTCTTGCTTGCTAAACCGGTGTGATCATGCCACCGCCAACGCCCAACCAGCTTAACACGCAACTTCCCGGCCTCGTCAACTTGGCTGACAAGCTTGGACGAGTCTATGTCGCGGATGGGAGCCCCACGCTTGTGGATGCACTCCATTGCCTTGAGAGTCTCGCCCTCCTCACTTACGATGAGTTTCGAAGGTTGCTCGAGCTCGCTGACTACGTTCTCGTGTAGCAGTCCACCTCCGTGACAAGCTTGGCGAGAGCGTGACTGATAACTTGCCGCCCAGTCCAGCGTCGCTCGAACGGCGAACACCGTCTGGTAGCGTCTCCACCTTGCTCTCTCGAGTCCTCGAGATCCGGGAGCTCTGAGCAACACAAGGTCGTCGACAAGGCAGTCACGGGCGATGGGAGATCTCAGTCGAGCTCCTCAAATTCTCAAGAACCCTAAAAATGCAGGAACCTGCAAATGGAACAAGCATCGAATGAGGGAGGCGCTCACGTCGCTCACCCAATGAGACGAGTCATGGGCGATTACCTTGAGGTGCGTGGAGTGGAGTTCTTGGATCAAAAAGACATTTTGCTCTTTCTTGCAGCAAATGGGAGCCAGGTCTTGTTTGACATTCTTCCACCCAGGAGCAGCATTGGAGGGGCATTGGTTTGGAGCACAAGATCTTGAGGACTCCATCCCCAAGCAGCTGGAGATTTGGCAGAGGCAAGGAAGGGGGCCTTGCCTTGAATGCTGTCTGTGGTGTTGTGGGGCCTTGCTTGGAAGAGCGAGTCTTGTCAACACTGGCGCGTTGCTGCCGCTGCCAACCAATTCCTCCACGATGGATGAAATGAATGAATGAGGAGGGAGGACGGCAAAAGAATTGATTTTCACCGACGGTTGCAATGCAAAGAGCTGGATGGCCCACGAACGACACCACCATGCTACCTATCTATCTATCTTCTCTCCAACAAAGCGAGAGTGAGAGAGAGAGAGAGAGAGAGAGAGAGAGAGAGAGAGAGAGAGAGAGCAAGATAGAGCGGAAGACGAGATGGATCAAAGCTTTCCGACACTGACGCTCCAACAACGTGGGGCCGGCTGGGCTGGCGGGCCTCGGAACGGGATCGCGAAATGGTACCGAGGAAGGACAAGCTCCAACGTAGAAAATGGAGGTGAGCCATTGTTTTTGTGGAGGGACAGCGATGTTGCTACTAACTTTTCTCCCTTTCCTAATGTTGGACAGCTCAGTCGCGGTGTGACCCGAATGATCGACGCAAAGTTTCCAGCCTCCTCTTCGCCTTTCTTCCTTGTGGGGGCTGCCAGCTTCAGAGCAAAGCGCTGCACCAACAAAAGCACATCTCAGTGCGTGCTGATGCCAGGCACCTAACTCGCTGTTGCTCTTCTCGTCGCTCGAGGAGGAAGGAGCACGCACGCACGCACGGCGATGGATGCGCTGCGGCCCTAGGCGCAGCCATTTGGTGAGCCATTGCAGTCTGCCTGCTACTCATTCTCACTCTCTTCAAATGATTCTTTCGCAGCGCTTGCAACGTGATGCCAGGCCAGTCCCAACTGATCGTCCACAATTGTGGGATGGCAAGGAACGAGCACTCGCGTGGCTCAGCTCCAGTTGAGTGAGAATTGGTCTTGCAAGCAAGGCTTTTGTTCATCCGTGGCTTTTGCGTGGTGTGTAAACAGGGATAGTCGCACTCGGGCTGCTCGACTTGCTTGCTTGCTTGCTACTGATCGAGGAAGATGGCATGGACGTGGAAGAAACGGTACTCGGATAGAAATGGAGACGCGGTGATCAGCAGCACCTCGCACCTCCCACCGAGTCCAAATAATGTGAGTCATCACGAGCGAGCAAAAGGACACTCTTTTTTTCTCAATTCTCTTGCGCACTCTCTTGCACAGGGTGATCATGCGAGGATCTCCGAGGCATGGACGCAAGCACCATCGGAGTTGGCTCTCAAGGTGAAGGAGGCCGAAGTGAAGCAGCATGCTAAAGTCGCCGAAGAAGCTGTCGCAGGTAGCGTCTTCTTTATGTCCGTCTTTGGCGAATTCGTTCTGAAAACTCCATCTCCATTTCGATTTCAATGCAGGATGGGAGAAGGCGGAGGCCGAGACGGAGTCCATGAGAAGGCAGCTGGAGCTCGTCCAGAAAGAAAAAGCCGCACAGCAGGAGCGTCTCTCGCACTTAGATGCGGCGCTCAAGGACTGCACGCGCCAAGTGCGACTTGTCAGAGAGGATCAAGAGCAAAAACGACAAGAGCTGCTGCACAAGAAAAACAAGGAGGTGGACAAAATCCGAGCCGAGTATGAGGCCAAGTTGGCAGACGTTGGGCGACAGCTGCTAGAGGCGGGGGCAGAGAACAAGGTGATGGCGATGACGCTCCAGGAGCATGCTAGAACAATCGGGGAGGTGACAGATGCCAAGTCCCGAGCCGAGGCGGAGATCAAACTGCTGCAGCACCGCATGGAGTCGGTTGAGAAGGAGAAGGGAGCGCTCAAGTACGAGGTGCATGTCCTCAACAAGCAGATACAGATACGAAACGAGGAGCGAGACTACAGCAAGCGAGACATCGAAGCTCTCAACAGGCAGCACGCGGAGGACACAAAGGTGATGAACAAACTGGAGGCCGAGTGCCAGAAGTTGCGGATTCTGGTCAGGAGGAAGCTCCCTGGTCCCAATGCTCTAGCGCAGATGAAGATGGAGGTGGAGAGCCTAGACGGGGGTGGCGAAAGCAAGAGAAGGGGTACTAGGAGCTCCACAGAAACTAAGCTGCATCAGAATGGTAGCCGGGAGATCGAGCTGCTTCTTGAGAGGTTGCTGTCCATGGAGGAGGAGACGAAGATGCTCAAGGAGGCACTGGCTCAGCGGAATGGCGAGCTTCACTCCTCTCGGCTTATATGCGCCAAGACGGCAACCAAACTGTCAGCCATGGAAGCGTACTTCGACAGCGTTTCACGAACGCATGGACTGTCCAAGCCGAAAGTCAATGGCATCGACGCGGACTGCTCGCCTAGTGTGGTAACGGTCTCGGAGAATGGCACTGCGGACGATGAAGTTAGTCGTGCGGATGCTTGGGCTTCTGCACTGATTGCGGAATTGTCACAGTTCAGGAAGGACAAACCGTCACCAAACAGCATGACAAGCGAAGCCATCAGCTCTCCATCAACCTTTGGCGGCATCATGGATGACTTCACGGACATGGAGAAACTGGCATCCGAGTTAACGAGCGAGAAAGCTTCTCTTGATGAAGTAACAATCATGGAAGTCCCCGCGGCAAGGAAGCTGGAACAGGATTTCGAGAAGGCAGAAGGAGCGCTCAAGCCACAGGTTATTCAAGATGGTGGAGGCAAAGAAGTGACGGAGCTCCAACTCTCGATAAGCAAGGTGGTGGAATCTCTTGCGGGGTCCCTCGGTCTTCTATCGCCTGGGGATAATTCGGAAATGATCATAGATGGTGGACTGGAAGCCAGGCTCCAGAAAATGAGTCCACAGCCGAGTGTGGAACCGGCACCATCGTTGCAAGAGTTTGTCAGCGAGCTCCTTGGAGCGTTGGAGATTATATCGTCCGCAGTTAGCAGCAAGAAGCACAGGTCCAGTGCGGTTGAAGTCCTCGACTGCGAGACCCAGACGTGCAATGGCGATGACAAGCTGGAGCTTGAACTGGTCCGCATTGAGAAGAACGCTCTCGAGAGCCACATGAAGTCCGAGCTTAGTCGCCTGACAGCTATGGAAGGCGAGGTGCTCCAGCTGAGAAGCGACAAGGTCCAGCTGCAGCAGGGCCTAGATGCGGGGAATCAAGAGCTTGAAGCATCCAAAGCTCAGCTCCAGGAGGCACAGCATCTCATTCAGGAGCTACAAACAAAGCTCTCTCTTTCAGTACCGGACGGGACCAAGGAGGAGGCCATGGTTGTCACTGAAGTGGAATCTCAGGTTCGATCCAGCGGTTCATTAATGCAAGATGCGGTGTCACGGCTAGAGAAGGAGCTCGAAGAAGAATACAAGCACCATGAAGAAGACAAAGCAAGGAGGTGAGTTTCTTTCTCTCTCTCTCTCTCTCTTTTTTTCTATCTTTCTCTTTTGATACGACAAAGGTGTGTCAGTACGATTCAGGAAACTGATGGTTTGCAGTTGCAGGAAAGAGCAGCAGGAGAGTGCGGTGCAAGCGGAGGAAGCCGAGGACGACAGGCGGACACGAAAGGTTCGTTTCTTTGAATATTTTAACAGGATTGTCAAATCGAGAAACGCCCGTGCCTGGCTTTCGTGCTGCAGGGGGAAGAGATTGCCGAGGCCGAAGCGAAGCTAGCCGAGTGCCAGAAAACCATCCTCGCTCTTGGCAAGCAACTCAAAGTCCTGTCGTCGTCACCTCGCCGGGAGGCGAACACGAACACGAGCACGAACGCTGACTCCATAGTTGGGTCGTCGAGGGCCAACTCGATGCTCTCAGTCTTGCGAAACTTCTCGGAGAGCGACCCCGAGGAGGAAATGGTCTCTCGCGACGTGACCATTGCAACACCAGTGAACGAGTCCTACATTCCGACGCTACGCCAGGATCATGACGAGGAACAGGACGCTGGCTTCCCACCTTCGAGCCCGCTGATGATGCAGCGAGGGGGTGCCGGCTCGAGCTCCCCGGCCACGAAAGCCAGACGATCGAGCTTCTCGCGGTTTTTCAGAGCCAAGAACAGTGCGTGACTTGGAGTGGAGTGGAGTGGAGTGGATAGACGAAGAACAGAAACAAAGTTGGCCGGGGCAGTCTAGAACGGGGTGTACAGTGTGGATGGCGATGGAGTTTTGGAGATTTTTGGCATGGCTTGGCTTGCACTGCTCGTCCAGGTAGCAAGCAACGAGAAAAAAAGCGAATCATCAAGCGCACTCTCGCTGGCGGGGGGGTGAGAGGGGCAACTTTGCTTGAGCTTTGGGACAAGTGAAGCTTACTACTTCTTCGCTCCTTGCTCTTTGTTCTACGCAACTCACTCTTTTCTCCCTCCCTTCCTTGTGGCCTGCCAAGTGTGGCGCGTTTAAGGCAATGCCGGTGAGGAGGACGGGCGAGGGCTGTAGATGGTTGACCGGGCGGCCGGCGACCGTTGACCATCCCAACGCGCATTCCACTACTTGTGGGCGCAACGCAAGCGCACCGGGTCTCGCGGCTATGGATACCTGGATGGGATCGATTTGACTGGGTAAAGGAGGAATCCAACAGTGGAGGGAGAGGTATAGCTATGCAATGAGGAAGAAAAAGGAGGAGGTGGAAGTGGTGGTGGTCTTGCTGCTGGTGGCGGCGGTGGTGGCGAGCCTGGGAGATTTATCCCAGGACAGAGATGCGCTGCTAGATTTTTACAATGCAGTTGGGAGCGCGAGCAGCAACCGGCGGCTGGGCTGGAACAGGAGCGCTGGCGCGGGTCCCTGCGATTGGCGCGGGATCGAGTGCTCCTCCACTGGAATCACCAGGATTCGACTGCCCGGGGTGGGTCTCGCTGGAAGCGTCCCTCCCGGTAGCCTCTCCTCGCTGACGAGCTTGCGGGTTCTCAGCCTCCGCTCCAACCGGCTGGGCGGTCCCTTCCCCGATCTCCGCAACTGTTCCCAGCTCCGCGCGCTCTATCTCCAGGACAATCGCTTCTCCGGCCGGCTCCCCCCGGATTTCAGCCTGTGGCCGCAGCTCCTCCACATCAATCTCGCCTACAACGCGCTCAATGGCAGCATTCCCACCTCCATCAACAGCCTCACTCGCCTCACCACGCTCAACCTCGAGAACAACACGCTGTCCGGGGGCCTGGCGCCGGAGCTCTCCCTCCCCAGGCTGGTGAGATTCAGCGTCGCCAACAACAATCTCTCCGGCCCAGTGCCACAGCGCCTCCAGGGATTCTCCTCGGCCGCCTTCGATGGCAACGTTCTCATCTGCGGCCCTCCACTCAGCAACAATCCCTGCCCCATCACCGCTGCCCCTCCGGCCATCACCCCGGGCATCCCGCCCCCGGGAAGAAGAAGACGCTCCAGAGGCCTCAGCTCGGGCGCCATCGCTGGAATTGTGCTGGGAAGCATCGCCGCGGCCGTGGTCGCCGCCCTCCTCTGCTGCTTGCTCGTCGCGAGATCCCGGCGGCAAAGGCGAGCCACTGGAGGAGGAAACAGGCATGTGACAGTAAGAGCTCGAGCTCAATCCAGCTTCAAGCCCAGCGCCGGGGCGGTGGCGGCTGGCGGATCAGGAGGAGATCACGCGGGCGATTCCACGTCCAAGGAGGAGGATCTGTCCAGCTCCCTCCAGGGCGATCAGCTGGTGGGCAGCAAGCTCGTGTTCTTGGACCCGGCCAGGAGGGGCTCGTTTGATCTCGAGGACTTGCTGCGAGCGTCGGCCGAGGTTCTTGGCAAGGGCAGCATTGGAACCACGTACAAGGCAGTGCTCGAGGATGGCAGCATTGTGGCGGTGAAGAGGCTCAAGGACGTGACCGCGCCTCCCTCGCAGTTCGAGCACAACATGCAACTCATTGGAGGTCTCCGCCACCGGAATGTGGTGCCACTCCGAGCTTACTACCACTCCAAGGACGAGAAGCTGCTCGTCTCGGACTACATGCCGCGAGGGAGCTGCTCGGCTCTCCTCCACGGTAAGTTTTCTCAAGTTCTTCCAAAGTTCTTCCAAGAGAAAAGGTGGTGAGCAAGCTGCAAAATGGGATCTTTGCAGGGAACAGAGGAGCTGGGAGGAGTCCCCTGGATTGGCCATCGCGTCTCCGGATCGCCGACGGCGCTGCGAAGGGTCTGGCATACATCCACGAGCAAAACGGCGGCACGTTCGTTCATGGCAGCATCAAATCGTCCAATGTGCTGCTGGCCAAGGACTTCGAGGCGTGTGTGTCGGACGCCGGGCTCGCGCATCTCCTCACCACCAACGCCGCCGCCACCTCGTCGCGGATGCTCGGCTACCGGGCGCCCGAGGTGCTGGAGACGCGCAAGGTGACGCAAAAGTCGGACGTTTACAGCTATGGAGTGCTGCTGCTGGAGCTGCTCACTGGGCGAGCCCCGACGCAGGCGTCGCTTACCGACGAGGGGATTGATCTGCCGCGATGGGTCCAGTCGGTGGTGCGCGAGGAGTGGACGGCCGAGGTGTTTGATCTGGAGCTCATGCGCTACCACAACATCGAGGAGGACCTGGTGCAAATGCTGCAGCTAGCTTTGAGTTGTACGTCGGTGGCGCCGGAGCAGCGGCCCAGCATGAGGCAAGTGGTGGAGACGATCGAGCAGCTGAGGCGTGCCAGCAGTAGCGATGGTGGTGGTGGCGGCGGTGGTAGTGGTAGTGGCACTGGCGAGGACACATCCTGATTCATTCCTTAGGCCTGATCGAACTCCATTGTTTTGTTCCTTTACTCGGGGTGTTGCATAAGATCTTTCGATCATTGTTGTCATCAATCGCCATCATCCATGTAGAACACCTGGGATTGGATTGTTTACATTGGATTTTGAAAAAACCTGTCTTTTTGTTCAAGTACCAACAAATATAAAGCTTGTTTTAAAAAATTGAAGTATAGACTTTCACAAGTTTTAATAAAATTTGGAAAGCTTAATAGATTTCAACTTGTGATGATCAACTAAATCTTCTAATTGGAAGGAGCAGTTCTGGTATGACTTCTTTTCCCTTTCTTCCTGTTTCGCTGATTTCGTCTTTATTTTGGTGATCAGGTTAATTTGTTTTTCTTCCTTTGTTCTAAGTTTATAAACTTCCTTACTCTTCCCGTGGATTTGACACTGTACTGTCCATGAAACAGAATCTTTGCCACTGCATTGAATTAAATAAGATTTTAACATATTCAAGATGCCGATATAGACTTATAACACTATAGTGCTTGAAATGAGATTTTGTTTCATGTCACAATTTTGTTTTTTAATAAAATGTTGATATATGAAGTTCTGCTGCAAAAAATGCCCAAGCTTTTCCTAGGTATATCAGACCTTTCTGCCAATGTTCTTTTAGATAATTTGGAATTAAGATCTAACGCTACTGCAAGGTGCAAGTTGCAAGTTGCAAGTTGCAAATTAAAAATGAGAGGGACGAGGAAGAGAACTGCGTCTATACGTGGTTACCTTCATTAAGCTGCATAGAGGTTTGCCAGTGACACATAGCTCGCAGCACTCTTGGGCGCCATCTCACAGGCAAGCTTAGCAGCACCGGCGCCGTGCCTGACGTTACGATGGAGTCCACAAGCTCCAGCCAAGCTTCCCCACGACACTCCATCCCCTTGAAAAGGCATGCACCCCGCAAGCTCGGACGCATTCTCGAGTTGCCCCACTTTCCCAAACACGTCGATGAAGATGCAGTAGTGCTCGATGCAAGGCTTCAATCGATGGTCCGCCATGGCAGCCAAGTAGGAGCGTGCCTCTCTCAGCAATCCCTTGTGAGCGCAGGCATTGAGAATTATCAGAAACGATACGTCGTTTGGCAACACGGACTCCAACCCCATGCTGTGAAGCAGCTCAAACGCATCGCTGTAGTGCCCAAACTGAGCATATGCTGCAAGCATTGTGTTGTAGGATACAGTGTCTCTCCCTGGCAGCGTTAAAAACACGAGTTTCGCCGCAGGAACATTTCCTGCTTGGGCATCTGCGGCGAGAGTTACGTTCCACGTTGTAGCATCGCGCTCGGGAGACTTGTAGAAGAGATCCTTGGCGTACTCAGCGTATCCGTTTTGGACATAAACCGTAACCATGGCGTTCCACGAGACAACGTTCTTGACAGGAAGTAAATCAAACAGAACTCTAGCAGCCTCAACGTTTCTCTTTTGTCCATACCCAGCCACCAGAGCGTTCCAGGAGACAACATTCTGTTCAGGCATTTTGCTCCACAGCTCTTTCGCTTGCTCCATGCGCCCACACTGGGCATACGCGGCAACCATAGCGTTTACAGTCACGATGTTCCACTCGCTCATTCTTCGGAAGAGACGCTCAGCCTTTTCAATCAGTCCTTGTTCGGCAAAAGCAACAATCACTATGTTGCAAGACACAACATCGGGCTCTGGAAGCGCATCAAACAATCGCTCGACGAGATCGATGCTACCACTGTGGATGGCCGCTGCCAGGAGTGTGTTCCACGACACCATGTCGTGGCAAGGCATTCGATCAAACATTTCCTTGGCACCCTCGTACTCCCCGTTCTGCGCGTGCGCCTGGACGATGCTATTCCACGATGCCATGCTCCGCTCCTTGAGACTGTCAAACATGGCAGCCGCGCGCGCGAGGCATCCAGCGTCGGCATAGAGCGCAACCATCGCATTGCACGACACCGCGTCCCACTCGGGCATCCGGGCGAAGAAGATGGTCTCGGCCCCGGCCACATTCCCATTCTGGGCAAATGCTACAAGCAAGGATGTCCACGTCAAGAGATTGGGTTCCGGCATCCTCCGGAACAAGCGGTTGGCCTCTTCCACACACCCGTCGTTGGCATACGCTTGGATCATCGTGTTCCACGACACACAATCCCTCTCGGGCATTCTCTCAAAGTATTCTTTCGCTTGATCCAAATGCCCGGAATGGGCAAATGCTTGGATCATTGCGTTCCAGGTGACAAGATCCCGGACATGGTAGCTACCAAATGCCGCAAGCGCTTGCTCGATCATGCCCTGCTGCCCGTATGCCGTGATCATCGCGTTGGAGGCGACGAGATCGCGCTTGGAGGGCGGCGTGGAGTCGAAGAGCGACTTCGCTGTGTCCAGGCATCCATTGTGGAGGCACGCGGTGATGATGAGATTCCAGGAGAAGGAATTGGGGGATTGGATGCGGTGGAATGCGGCGAGCGCGTCGCCCACGCTGCCGCAGCGGCCATACATGTGGATGAGGAGATTGGCGAGGTATCTGCTGCTGCGGTGGGGGCTGTGGACGATCTCGGCGTGGAGGTAATGGGCCTGTGACAGATCCCTGCACGATCGAACGCGCCGGGCAATCGCGTCTTCTTCTCGAATCCTCCATTGCTCTTCCAAAGCTGACAATGACCTTGCTATAGTCATACAAGATATAACAAAAAACTAGCTATCATCTGTGGACAAAAACATTGCCTCTGTTTGGATTGACGAGCGAGCGAGCGATGGGGAGCTTTCACGCCAAGAATCCAAGCTTCTCTCCGTTCTTCTTCGCAATTCTTATCAAGCCTTGCCGGACCTTGTTGTCTGCGCCCACGGACTTGCAAAACTCGGTAATCACCTGGAAACGAAGAATGTGGATTCATCCAAAGCAAGCTATAGACCGACAGTACCTGGGAGTGAAGAGCAATTCCTTTTCCACGCAGCTGGTTGAATTGCTTCGCTCCCAAAACACTGCGCGCCACCACCACCAGCGGAGCAAAGATTCCCGAGCTTCCTTCCTTGCTGCCAGCCACCACCACCAGCGATGATCGTCTTCCTCTTTGCCTTGCGGAGGAAGAGCTCAAGTTCTTGGTCTCCAACTCAAGCCCAGCCAAAGGCCTGCTTGAGATCGATCCAGCGATAAACGCCATGGAACTGTTGCGCCAAGATCTGGGAGAAGCTCTCACTCCGAGACAACCATGATCACCATTGGCCTGGCAGTAGTCTTCTTCTCCAAGTTCCTCCTTCCTCCTTCCTCTTTCCTCTTTTGCTCTTTCACCCGAACGTTCTCCCTTTGGCATCCGACTCGCGTCCAACGTGTCGTCACCATAGCCAGGAGATGACCAGATGAGAAATGAATGGGCGGATGCCTGTTCCCAGCTTAGCTTAGCCCACCACCTTTCTCATCAGTGTGTAACACCGTGTGTTGTGAGTGTTAAGCACACGCTCTCGCTCAGCCCGTTTGCCAGCACCAGGTAAGCTCCAACATCTCCGGGACTGACGCTCCACACTCTCTGTGCCGCCGACTTTGCTCCTCCAACGTCGCAGTGGATGTAGCATCCCCCCAGCAAAGCTCCCCAGCTTGCAGCATCTCCGCGCAGAGGCATGCTTTTCGCGAGCTCCACTGCTCTCTCCACCAGTCCCGCACGCCCGAGGATGTCGATCATGCTCGAGTAGTGATCCATCACTGGCGTCAAGCCATGGTCGCCGCTCATCGCCACGAAGTAGTGACAGCATTGCTGGAGCAGGCCCTGGTGCGAGCAAGCCGTCAGGAGGATGACGAAGGTGGCAGCGTCCGGAGCAACACCGTCGACTTGCATCGCTCGGAAGACTAGGATCGCGTCGTTGGCATGGCCCGACTTGGCGTAAGCAGCCACCATGGAGTTCCAGGCGGCTGTATCGGTTGCCACACCACGATCCTGCAGCTTCATCCGCTCGAAAACCTGTCTAGCAGCTTGGAGATGGCCGTGATGAGCATACACCGAGATCATGGACGCCCAAGCCGTGGCGTTCCTCTCGGGCATGCTCTCGAACACAAGTGCAGCTCCTGCCACGTCTCCATTGTCCGCGGTCACGGCCAACGCCGCATTCCAGGACGCAGCATCCCAGCTTGGCATTCTCCAGAAAAACTTCTTCGCTTCTCCAGTATCACTATTTGTTTCTGAAGGCGCCATGGCAGCCACCATCGTGTTCCAGGAGACCACACTTCGCTGAGGCATGCTCTCAAAGCACGCCTTAGCCTCGAGAACTTCTCGGCCGTGAGCATGCGCCGAGACCACTGCATTCCACGATACGACGTCGTGCTTGGGCATTCTGTTGAAAGTACTCTTGGCACCAGCAAAGTCTCCGAGCTGGAAGTTCGCAGCAACCATCGTGTTCCAGGAGACAACGTTTCTCTCCGGCATCCTGGTGAAGATATCCTTGGCAGGACCAAGGTGACCCTGGTCGACGCAGGCCTGGACCATGGTAGTCCAAGTCACAACGTTGAGCTCCGGCATCCTGTCAAGAACCTGGTGAGCCATGGTGGTGATGCTACCGACGAAGGCGTGAAGAAGAGCCGTCCACGATACCACGTCCCTGTGCGGCATCGTGTCGAACAGCGACTTTGCGAGATCCACATGCCCACACTGGGCATACGCGGAGACCATCGTGTTCCACGAGCAGATGCTGGGCTTGCATATCCCCTCGAACACAATCTGAGCGTCACGGATGCTCCCGCAGCTGCTATACATTTTCACCAGCAGATTCGCAAGGTACCTGCTGCTTCCAAATCTACTGCTCTTGATCTGTGCGTGAATCCACCTCCCCCTGGCGATGTTCTTCGACTCTCCGCATTGTTTCACAATGCCTGCGTAGAAGTCTTCGCTCTTATGAGAAGCGCTACTAGACATCCCAGCAGATTTCATCGCAAGCCTTCAGCACCATCTCTGTGATCGACGACGATGGCGAAGACGCATCAAGGAGTTCATCAGTCCAAATGAACCACGGAGCTCGTAAGCCATCCACCTTGACACCAAATCGTTCCAGGAGCTCTTGGACAGCAGGCCACTTCGTCTCCACTTCCCTCCTCATTACCGGAGCTCCAGTCACCAAAACTTTCGTGTGTAGCTCTTGCAAATCCTCCTCGCTGAGAAAGAATGCCACATTCTCTCCCACTCCAGCAGCTTCTAGATCGATCACTCCACATCTCCTCACGCCCTGGTGTTCCACTTGCTGCCACTGGAGAGTAGCATCCTCTTGGCTCACACCACTTTCGATTGCGGCCTTGGAGAAAACGTCACTGCGCAACGATGCCCCTCGATCGGTCGTGACGAAGGCAGAATAAGAAGCGGCTGCCAAGGGAATGGATTGGAGTGTCATCCCAGTAGCTTTACTGGCACAAGAATCCTTCCCTTTGAGATCCACCAAGAAATTCCCTGCTCCATTCACACAAGTCCCTTGCAAGAAACTACCGATGGATCCCAATCGCCTCAGAGTTTCCAGCTGACAATCCTTGAGAAGAGTCCACCGCCCTACATTGTCATGCTGTTCTTGGTGCTGGCATCTGGCATGCATCGTGTGATGCTTGGCGAGCATCGCGTGTAACAATTCCCTGCTGCTAGCATTGCTACTGCTGGAATCCGGCTGCTGCAAGAGAACTAGCGCCTCCTTCTTGGAATCGAAGCAAATGCGGAGGGGAGTGATCTCTCTCACCTCATGCTTGTCGCCAACGCTGTCGATCCCTTTGGTGCGCCATTCGTAACGAATCCGGCAGGAGAGAGGATTGATCGTAGGAATCCTGCTGCCACCACCGGCGATCGTGCGCCAGAATCGCTTCATTCTCTCTAGAGCTTGCCAAAAACCCTAGCTCGTTCTCTTTGTATTGCCTTGAAAGAATGTGTGTATGTGTGTTGTGGGTGCTATGTTTTGACCGCTAAAGGGCTTCTAACTCGTTGCCTTCCATTGGACCACGTCAACCAGCCAAAAACAAAACGCCCATTCGTGTGGTCAACAGAGGTCAACTCTACGTTGAACGCTCGTCTCTCCATGTAGGAGCTGAATCTCAGCTCGTCCGGTACCACTCTCACGCGTATCCCTGGCGGCGCCACCACGCTCGCCTTGAACACTGTAGGTGTGGTAACGGCGGTAGAGGCGGAGTAGTCGGAGTTCTTCCTCGCCGGAGAGGCTCCAACGTAGGTGACACTCCTGGAAACAATGACCGTGGCGGCGGTGGTTTTGTTCTGGGACGCGGCGGTGGCGGCGACGCCTCCGCCCAGCCGGGAGACGACGATGGCTGGATAGTTGAGGTTTGAGATGGGGCGGCGAGCGGACTGGGACGATGGACAGATGCTCTTGTCGCCCGTTACCTTTTGGAGGAGTTTGGTGTCATAGCCGGAGCTACAGAGGTAAGCCATGAACTCGCCGGGGCCAGCGTCGTAAACAAGGCCCGGATTGGCAGCTCTGCGGGGATTTACGTGACCGCTTCCATAGTCGAAAGCGTTGGCCACCTTTCCGTGAGGCAGTGTGAGGATTGGCGATCGAGTGTTGTCTTCCGTGAGAGCTAGAACAGGCAAAGTTCACAGATGAATCAAGCTCTTCGTGAAAGTTTGGAACTACCTGTTGTCATGATGGCCGACTTGAGAGCTGCTGGGCTCCAGGATGGATGCGCGGCTTTGAGCAGCGCAACCACGCCAGCGACGTGAGGACAAGCCATGGAAGTTCCGGAGATGATGTTAAACTTTCCTGGCATTCGCTTGCTTCCGGGAGACCATGCCGCGAGGATGTTTAATCCGGGAGCAGCAATATCGGGCTGCCACCATCGATCGAAAGTTGGAGTTAGCTTTTCGGAGAACCATTGCGAACCATTACATATACCTTGAGCACGTCAGGGGTGACCGAGTTGGGACCCCGAGATGAGAAGCTCGCGATCTGTGGAGCGGGTCTGGATCCCAGTACTGTTGCAGTGGGATTGATTCGTGCTACGGGTGTCCTGTTTCCAAGGAAAAGTTTATAAGAACCTGGAGATCAAAGAAAAGCTTAACTTTGTGGAGTTGATGTATGAGAGGATTGCTGCTCCATCTTTCGGGCCAAGGAGCGTTGCTGGGAGAGCAAAGGGGACTGCAAGGCCGGAGTCGGCTTGATCGATAAGGATCATCCCCTTGCTACCCGCCGAAAGCACAAGTTCGCTCTTGCCAACCTTTGTGTCCAGGGAGTCTTGAGGATGCATGCAAACGACGATGCTGTTCTTCACCTTAGATGGATCCAGCGAGCCACTGGAGCAATCCCTGCAAGCCAAGAGATTATATATCTTGAGAAAAAGTTGGTTTTTCCTCAAACCTTGCTTGAGCTTTGGTTGAGTTCTTCCTGTTGGCGCTTGAAGCAAGGATGAGTGGAGCAAAGGAGCCTCCCATGCGTGAAGTTGCGAGAGAAGCACCCTGAAAAACAACATCGTCTCAGGCATAAAGATGATACTCGAAAAGACGAACCTTAAACACGATTTTGTTGCCAAGCACAACCTCGGAAACGAACTCCCGATCCATAGAACTCGCAGCCACCGTGATGATCCAAGGAGCAATGTTGGTAGCACTTCCAGTGTTGGTGTCTCCATTGTTTCCAGCTGAACAAGTCACCACAATTCCCTTTTGAAGCGCATGGAACGAGCCGATGGAGATGGCATCCTTGAAGAAATCCGTCTGTGGAGGATCCGGCCCCAGCGAGAGAGTCATAACATCAACGCCATCCTTGATCGCATCATCAAATGCGGCCAAGATATCGGCATCGAAGCAGCCACTCGACCAGCAAACTTTGTAGACGGCGAGCCGAGCTCGAGGAGCTCCACCAACAGCGCTGCCTTTGCCGAGTCCAAAGAAACTTGCGTCGGTAACGTATCTTCCAGTGACGGTGGACGCCGTGTGAGTTCCATGCCCGCTCGCATCTCGCGGAGAGATATAGTCGAGGCCACCATCTTTTGCTGACGCTAATGGACCTCCCATCTCAGACGCCAGGCCCCGCAGGTAGTATCTCGCTCCCACAAGCTTTCTACGAGCCAAGTAAAGTGATCACAGGTGATCCCACGAAGAACACTTCGATCTCTGATCATTCTCTCACCTGTTACAGTGTGAAGCATTGAACAGCTCGCCAGCTTCACACTCGCCTTTCCAGCGTGATGGAACCGGAGGCATCAGACTGTCGCTAAAGCTCGAAGACTCTGGCCAGATTCCTGCGTCAAATCGAGCGGGTGACCGAGTTTGTAAGATCGCAAAGCAAGGAAGAAAGCTTTTGAGCTTACCAGTGTCAAGAACACCGACAATGACATTGGATTGCTGCTTGGAGCTGTGAGGAAGGCTCCTGGCTTCGTGCTTGAGGCCTTGCGATTGTTGCAAGCCCAGAAACTCCCACGAGTGTGTCGTGTGAAGCTGCCGCGGCATGCTGGGAAACACCGCCACAACGCCATCCTTTTCTGATCGATCGCAGCGTAAGATAACATGAGCTAGAGAAAGATGTTATCGTCACGTACTTGACAGATCGAAGGCCTGTTCTTGAGACAGCCTTGCTGAGAAGCCTCTAAACCCGTGCTTGTAGCTGTACACCATGGACTCCTTGGCTTGATCATAGCTGAAAAAACAGGAACCGTGTATAGTGTGAGATCGGCAGGAAAGAAGAGAGAAAATTGGTTACCCGTTTTGAAAAACGGATGACAAGACTTGATGGTTGTGATCGCAGGTCACCTGAGGATCGTCGTGAATTCTATGACCCATGTAGACAATGTACACCTGGAACAAGGAGGAGAAGTCACATTGGCAAATCCTCCAGCAAAGAAGCCTACCTTGCGTCCATCTCCATCTCCAGAAGAAGAAGAAGAAGAAGAAGAAGAACGAGAAGAAGAAGCTCTCGCGGTGCCGGCATTGCAAGAAGAAAGCACCAGGAGTAGAAGAGAGAGTGCGACAAGCATCCTACTCCAAGAGGCTGCCATCGATCACAGACAATGCGATATGGGCGAGCGAGTTTTCTTGGAGAGAGAGAGAGAGAGAGAGAGAGAGAGAGGAAGAGGGTCTAGACTCTAGAGAGCTCGACCTAGCTGGCGATCCTGTACTGGCAAGCACAGCACAGAAAATCACACCACAGGAGAAGAGAGGGAAAAGAGAGATTTTTATAGGCACGCCGCACGCCTGTGGCAGTGGAGGCAGTGCGTCACTCACAGCTCCCTTGCCCTGCGACTATCTGCTTGGCGACACCGACACGAATAGGATGCTCGTGACCAAACGCCGTAGAACAAAGACTCTACACTATGGAAGAAAGAAAAGACCCAACGGAGCTTTGATTGAATGATTGAGAAGAAAAACCGCGGAATCTGGATGAATCATGGCTGCGACCAGCGCTTCTCCTGGCTTGCTTACTCAAGAAAAGGAGGGATTTTAGGCCTAGACCTCTGGGAGTGATCGTTTATGTGGAGGAAGATAGTGAGAGCTTTCCTTTATACTCGGTGTGCGTGCGCTCCCGCCGCTCCTCGCTGCCCCACATTCCACTCCAGCTTGTTTCTTGAAACCAATCAAATCATGCTTTCGACTCAGCGGCAGCTGCGTTGTTCTTCCACCACCACCACCAGCACTACTGCCACTACTACGAACGATATCACCACTTTGTTTGTAAGGCTATGGAGCTCCGCCACGGATTGAAGGAGTGCAAGGCCTCTTTTTCCTCTGCTTTGAAATCGATCCAGTGATTCGATGCATCCAATCCAATCAATCAATCACTCTGGCGAGCTTCTTCTCGATGGTGTTTTGGTGGATTGCTTGTACGTACCGGCAGACACCCAACCAAAGATAAAGTCGGTGAGGCATGTGAGTGGGCGTCACTCCCTCGAAAAGCTCCACAAAAAATTCCCACAGAAATAGATCCACCAAAATGCCACTGGAAAGATTTCCTTTTGTCCTCTTGGTTGGAGGTTGAAACATCAACAAACACGACTAGACTGTGAGAACATGAGAAGAACATGAGATGAGAACATGGCAATCGTGGACAAATATTTCTTAATACCACAACCAAAGTTGCCGCGAAGAAGTCTCCACTGCTCCCATGAGAAGTGCCAGTGAAACTTCCAAATTTCTCCAAATCTCTACTACAAATCTCCCGCATTGATTGGAATAGCTCCAAACGAAAATTACGCTCCTGCCTTGTCAGTCCAAGTCAGTGGTCAATTGCTGCGAGAGAGAGCGACCTTGGAAAAAAGAAGAGAGAGAGAGAGAGAGCTTCTCACCTCTGGTACGCATGGCGATGGCTGTGCAATCCTCTGACAATCCATCAAGTGCGAAAGAACTCGTTACTTACGCTGAATGGAACGCTCTGCCAAGACACGAATCTCCTTGCTCATGATCTCCACAACGTACTGCGGTAGATATCATTCGCGCTCTTCTCCTCCTCCTGTTCTTCCTGCTGCAAACTCTTCTTCTCTAGAACCGGTGACGATGGCGATGGCCGCTGCTCGTTCTCGTCGAGCGAAATCCCCGAGAGCTTACACTTCCCAGCCAGCTGCTGCAAGACAGTGGCGGTGATGGCGTCCGGAAGTATCCCCTTCTTCTTCATGTCGAAGTATATGTCTCGCGCGTCCTGGTACCGCCCGGCCTTGACCAGCGCGTCGATCAACAGGTTGTAAGTCACAACGTTCGCGCTACACCCGGCCTTCTCCATGTCGCCAAACATCTCAAACGCCTTGCCCATGTTTCCAGCCTTGGCGAATGCCTCGATCATGCAAGTGTACGTGAACACGTCCGGCGTCAGCCCCGCGCTTCGCATCTCTTGCAGCACCTTGTACGCCTCGGACGCGTACTTTGCTCGTCCCAGGCAGTTGATGAGCGTGTTGAAAGTGATCGAGTTCGGCTTGATCCCGCGGGCCTCCATCTCGTCCATGAACTGATACGCCAGGCCAACTTTCCCAGCCTTGCCGCAGCAGTCGAGCATGGCGTTGAAGGAGACGGTGTTGACAGCCACTCCACTCTTCTTCATCCGCTCGAAGATCTCGCAAGCCAGCTCCGTCTTCCCGGCTCGTCCCACCGCCAGCAGCAGCGAGTTGCAGCTCTCGATCTTCATCGCGATCTTGCGCTGCTCCATCTCGCCAAACAGCTCCACCGCTCGGTCGATCTCACGCCCCCGGCTGAGCGCGTCCAGAACCAGCGCGTACGTGCTAGCATCCGCCTCGATCCCGTCCGACTTCATCTCCGCGAAGATCATGCACGCCTCGCTCACGTTCCCTCGCCGGCTCAAGTTGGCGATGAGAGCATTCATGCTGGCAGCGGTGGCGAAGTGTTTCGAGTCGCGGATCACCTGGTAGACGCCGCGGACCCTCCCGGTCCGGCTCACGGCCGTGATGAGCGAGTTGAGAGTGTAGTCGTCCGGTGCCAAGTTCTTGTCCAGCATCTTCTTGAGCACCACCATGGCCGACTCGATCCTCCCGGCCTTGCAGTAGATGTCGATGACGTTGGTGTAGGCCGGAGCGCTGGGCGTGCATCCCCGCTCCTCCATCTCGTCGAAGAGCAGCGTCGCCTCCTCGTCGCGCTTGCACCGCCCGAGGCTCCGGATGAGGATGGCATACGTGTAGTCATCCGCGGGGCAGCCCATGGATTTCATGCTCGCGAAGAGCTTGCAAGCCTCGTCCATCATGTTGGCTTTGCCCAGTCCATCCAGCACCACGTTGCAGAGGAGAGTGTCGGGCTCCAGCCCGGTCTTGATCATCTTGTCCAGGAGCTCCATGGCGAGCACCACATTCCCGGCCTTGACGAGCGACTGGATGACGCACTTGTAAGTGTAGGCGTTGGGCTTGGATCCGTGCTTGTCCAGCTCCTGGAACTCGTCCATCACCTTGTGGATCCTGGAGCTCCGGCCGTAAGCCGCGATCACGGCGTTGGATACCAGGACGTGGTATCTGCAGGGAGTGTCTTGGATCGCGGCCAGCATTCTCTCGAGGACGTCGTACTCGCGAGCGGCGCCCAGGATCATGACCATGCGGCTGCAGCTGTAAGCGTCGAATCCACACTCGGGCTGGCGGCCCGACCAGAGGAAGAACTCGTAGCACGTCTGGACGTCGGTGTGGAGCGCGCGAAGAACACCCTCCACCACGAAGGGCGTGAGGCGGAGCTTGTACTGGTGCTTCATGTCCACCAGCGCGTCGATGGTGCCCGGACCCCAGTGGAGCCACTTGAGGAGCTGCCGGATGGCGGTGATGGAGTCCTCGCCCGGCACCGGCTCCGCGTCGATGGGATGATTCATGCGCGCCACCAGCGGCAAATCGAAGGATGCGGGCTTGCCGATGCTCGCTGGCTTCCCTGGGACGGAGCAGTAGTACCTGATTCGAGCTCGCAGCGCCATGATCGACCGCGCCCATCTCTCATCGCCGCATTGCCATCGCCTAGAACTCGCGAGGAAGCCCTAGGACACTTCTCTATGGTGGTAGTGGTAATCAAAGCTTGTCTATTTCTTCTTGCAAATTCGAGAACATCATCCAAGAGAGGAAAATTGAATCGCGCGCGCTTAGAACAAGCTCGTTCCCTTGCCCTTCTTGTCACCACCGATTTCAAAGTGTTTGCACCTCTGGATTTGCAAGAAAGCCATCGATCAGGGACGAGCAAAGAGAAAAATCCCACCTTTAGAGGGTGCTGCGACACGCGCTTGCACGTCTGGCACTGGAGCCGGAGCACGATCTTCTTGGTGGTCTTGGCCTGCATTCATTCAATCACAGGGAGAGAGCTTAGATCGATTGGAGCACAGCAGGCAGCGAAAGTTTCCTACCTTCTTGTGAAACACGGGCTTCGTTTGACCGCCATAGCCAGATTGCTTGCGATCGTAACGCCTCTTACCTGTGAACCTCACCGCAATTCAGAGCAAGCTCGCGAGAAATCTTCCGGCTCTTACCTTGGACGTAGAGGCTGTCCTTGCCCTTCTTGTACTGCGTGACCTTGTGGAGCGTGTGCTTCCGGCAATTCTTCCCTTGGCAGAAGGACTTCTTCGTCTTGGGCACGTTCACCTGTCGGCATTGGGGAGAGATCTAAGATCTGAGCAGCGAGCGCCTCGCAAGAACATACCATTGTGCCGCCGAGATGCTTCCAAGCCGCCGAAATGCGCTCCCCCGAGCTCTAGGGTTAGGGTCTTACAGGGTTTTGAGATCGCCGTCGATGGAAGCATATCATCGACGGCTGGCATGTGGCCACGTCATACATCTCATGGATTAGGGCATTGTCTTCATGGGCGCTCCTCTTCCGGGCGCTGCGATGACGGTACGCTGCCTAGATTTTCCAGGGAATGTAGCTCCAATTCTGATTCTTAGGCCAATCTCTCCGCGCATTGCTGCTTGTGCTCGCCGTCGGTGGCCAAGAGGAGGACGCTTCCGGGAAGAATTCTCATCGTTCGAGCTCAATCTGTGGATGCGCCTTCTTCTGGATCATCCGGAAGGCTCCAATCTCTTGTATCAGCACCTCTCAAACTGGTACTTCTTCTTCTTCTTTCCTTCTTTTCTTTGGAATTCTTTTCACTAGATTTTACACAGGCTAGCCGTGTTGCGGCTGCTCCTGTCAACTTTGCCGCGGCTGCAGGAGCTGTGGCTACCGTGTGTGTGCTTCTTTTGATCAGAGAATTTGTGCGATCACGCAACCAGGTGGGAGGCTCCGTGTCAGATCTGATCAGGAGAGGACAGCTACGATCCGATAGAAACGTCAGGCCCGAGTAAGTTGGTGTTCCTTTATGAATCTTATGGTTGCTCTTGTTTGATTGTAGCTCGAGACCTTTGAAATACGAGGATCCTTTCAACAATCCTCTGGTAAAGATCGGCAGTAAGAATCCGATCGTGAGAATGTGCGGCAAAATCTTCAGGCTAACTCCAGTGACTTTGACGGAGGAGAAAGTCGTGAGCCACCAGAACAGGAGGATACAAGCTTATCATTGGAGGAGGCCCGTTGTGTTCCTTAACGAGGGGGACCCTGTGCCCGAGGGTGTCGACCCGGAAGAAGTAAGGTGGATACCATCAAACCACCCGTTCGCCACCACCCAAGACTATATCGACGAAGAGCTGGCGCAAAAGAACGTGTACCAGACCCGTGGCGTTCCGTCCCGCGTAAGAGCCGAGCACGAGGCCCTTCGGAAGAAGATGAAAGAATCAGTCCAAAAGGTGCGTTCTTGCTTTTCTGTGCGTGCTCGGTACTGAGTCGATCAGAGTTGGGATTGGCTCCAGGCCCGAGAGGATACTATCCAAGATAAGACTTTATCTCCTCCCAGCGATCGCGATTCATCTGGAAAGCAGCCAGATTCTTCCGTGAGGCAGCAAAGCGAGGTGAAGTGAGGCCTCGAAGTGGGAATAAGTGGGAATAGAATTTCGTCTGTTACTTTGGTCGAGGCGAAGTGGTGTTCGTGGGAGGCCAGCAGGTGAGTGCTCTGGTTTAAGAAAATCTAACCGATTTGGTTTGCAAAGCATGTCCAGGTGTTTGTGGTCGCTCATGAGACTTGGCTTTGTCTGGAAGAGTCAAAAGCGCACTAGCCATGATACTGATGGATGGAGAACTTTGGGCAGTGATAGCTATTATATTCCAGCACTGGGAAGGGGAATTCACTGCTGTTCTGGACGGCCTCTCTCAACCAACCCGGCTCTAGTGTCCATTGCGAGTGACGCGAGGCAGCTCTGGTGTGTGGTGCTGCTAGTGGCATTGGTGGGGTACTGGAAAGAAAGCTATCCTGGATGTGACACCCGGGTCTTAACATATCTGCTGCCAATACACAACAGTGGGAGGAAAGAAAGCACGACAGGGACAGACTCGGAGAAAGAAAGATTAACGACGACTCTTATCACCGTCGTCGAGCAATTCGTGTTCCTTCCAAGTCCGAGCGGAACCGATCCGAGCCTAGCCGAGCCGAAGCCGAGCTGAAATCAGATAGAGGTTGTCTGGGAAGAAGATGACGAAGAAGAGAGCGACTGGTGCTCCTGCTGCTGCTGTTGCTGCTGCTGGTCTTCGAGCCTGGAAGGGGCGTGAAGACTTCTCCGGCATGACGGACATGACGCATGAGCAATGAGCCAGACGTCGACGCACTCGACATGGAAGCCGTGGTAACAGTCGGGAAGGATCCGGACTCTGTCCCCGTCGGTGAATTCGCAGAGACAGATTGTGCACTCGGTTCCGACCAGGCAGCCCAGCTCCAGATTGTCTTTGAGATTTGCTGCCGAGTAGTTGACAACGGGAAGCGCCTCCACAGCTCGCCGGTTGCTGCTCCTGTTCTTCTTGGACAGACTGTTACTCATGGTGAAGTCCTCGGAGGAGGCCTCGAGGTCCAGATCACGGGGCTCCCTGGGGAAATCACTGTTCCTTCTCGACCGTCGCCTCCTCATCCATCGCCGGAGGTCTGTGGAACTGAAAGCTGGAACCAACCTCACGATGCTGTCCCAGCGAGCCATGCAGATGAGAATCACCAAGAGGATTGCGACGACGATCATACTTCCCAGGAACACTGCCGTCTTGTACACGGTCTCTCCACCTCGCGGCCTCCATGGCTGCGGCTGTGGCTGCTGCGGCCGATGCTGCGGCTGCTGGGGCTGTGGCCTGCCTGGCAGTGGCGGAAACAAGCGGTCGTGGTCGTGGACGTCTCGAGGCGGAAGAGGGCCGGGTTTCTTCTTGAGAGCCATCGTGAAACTCTGGACTGGAGCTCGGCTGCGCTTCTTCCTCCTGCACAGCAACCAATCATCAGACAGTCGTGTTTGGAGCTAATGTGGCCAACCTGGATCTGGATTGTAGCTCGAATCTACAAGCCAGTAGCAGCAAACAGCAGCAAACAGCAGCAGCGATGGCAGTGGATTTAGTGACTGGGTGTAATTAGCTGCCTGTCATCTCATCTCCGAGCTTGACAAGAGCGAAGAGAAGAAACTGCAAAGTGGGGTGAGGTCAGGGAGAAGAAAGGGAGGGCAGCATTCTTTCTTTTTCTTCTCGCTCGGCTCGCTCCTCAGTACACATCCACACGTAGCCGTACAAGCAAACACCGTTTCAGCAGTTACGGCATTTAAAAGGGGTTTAGCAAAACTGTGAGGAAAGATCTTGTTTACGAACTTTTCCTGTAAACAAAGAGTCCTCCGAAACTCCGTTACAGCAGTTACGAGACAAACTTTTGAAAAGGCAACTCCCTGGTAAAATCAATCAGTTATTCAGCTGCTAGCATTTTGCGAGTAGCTTTTTATTCTTGAGGCAATTACAATTAATAGCATTCCAAAGCTTGAGATAAACTTCTTAGCATCTAGAGTCATTAGGGAACTCGAAAACTGCCACTGCCGCTGCAACGTTCTTGAACGCACTAGAAGACCGTGGAACAGCACTGATATAAATATTCGCTCGCATGTTTTTGAGAGAAAAAGAGTGATGCATTCTAGAAAATAAAGTTTTAAATTTCGCTCTTTCATAAAATCCAAAATTACTTATTTTACATTTTAAATTAGAAGTCAAGCTGTGAACCTTAATAAGCCTAAACATCCATAAAACTTTCTTCAAAATCTATAACACCATGAGAGTAATAATAGTTACCTTAGTATTGATAATACATTTTAAAGTTTTTTCTGGACAACCTAGTATTAATGTTGGAGATATGAATTCTATAAATGTAATAGTTGTAAATGCTATTATACAAGCTATTACAGATGCAATTAATGCTATACCAGATAATCCACTTCCTTCAAGACAAATGTTTTATGGAAATATTGTTGGTAAAAATCCAGAAACAAGAACTTATACCATTATAGGATATGGTGCTTTTTTCTTACAAAGAATTGGGGACATTTGTAATATAGAATCTGGGGGACATTTAGAATCTGGAGCTACTATAAGACAATCAATAAGTGAACTTTTTCAAGAGATAACTGAAACTTTAATAACTAATGCTGCCTCATATTTCATTGTAAGAAATAGCCAATTTCTTATTTATTATTTTATTAGAAATTTTAATGGTCAACAACAAAGAAGGCAACAAGATTTAGCACAACATACTAAATGTAATATTTTTTCTAGCATTTTGATAAGTGGTTACTTCAATATGCCATATCAGTATTTGTTATCAACACAATTTTTAATTGCTTCAAATAAAAAAACATATATGTATTTAAGTATTGATTGCAAATTAGGTATATATAATGGTAAAATAAACTTATGGTTTTCAAAGAATTTAATTGAAGGAAAAAATTGCATTTTAAGATTACAAGAAGATGGAAATTTAGTTTTATATTCTTACAATAATAAAGCTGTTTGGGCATCAAATACTAATTGTATTCAATATAATTGCTATAAAAACACATATTTAGTAATACAAAATAACTGCAATTTAGTTTTATATACTATTTATCAGAAATCATTTAATATAAACCCTAATCTAGAAGT